ACAAGCAGGGGGATTTTACACGTTGGTTATCGAGGAGAAGAATTGGAGGTCCCTTGGAGTATTAGCGGCACCACTTTGATGTGGATGATGTGTGTGTGTGTATGTGTCGTAACGTTGTAGACAAAGGGGGAGAGTTTAATTCTTTACTTGCAAATGGTAAGGGTCACAAAAACGATACAATACAGCTAATAATGATGAAAGGAAAGGAAAAGGAATCAACCAAACTGCTTGAGCGTAATGAAGAAACTGGTCATCAAAGGCAACCCCAACAAACACTCAATCCAGCTTATATACGGAAAAAAAGTGGGAGTGGGTTTTCTAAATATTGCAACAGATGTGATTTAAAACAAAGATCTAAGACATGAGTATGATTGCATGGATAGATAATTTTTTTATACTTTGGTCTTTCGCGAAATTGGAATTCGCGACACACTTACTTTCTACAATTTCATTCCGTCGTTTTTTTTCCTTTTTTTTTACTGAATATTGATGTAATTTCCGTTGCCTATGCGGTAAGTAACATCCGTAGGCGTCAGTGACATTCTTATTCGTACCAGTTACAGTTCAAATTAATTTCGGTACCGGGAGAGTAAACAAATGATGAGGAGTGATAGTAAAAGCAAAATACACGACCAACTTCATTTCGTTTGGAAGTAAAGTGGGATGATGGAAAAAGGTTAGATGAATTCCCCGGAGAGTTTGACCGACATCTATGATACTCACCGCTGCGCCACAACAAATGATGAAAACAAAACTATGATCAGTTTTCCATATTTGAAAACGTTTATGTTGAAGTGTTGAACGGAATTTTCTAAAGCATAGATTTTCTTTCATTAATTTACTCCAATTTCAACTATAATGTTGATTCCAACTCAACTCAGAATGATCATTTTGTGTTCAGTTTTCGAAAAATGGAATTAATGAATGCAAATTGTCTACCATCCTTCCATATGACCTTTTACACTATCATGTCGGTTTTACATAATTTGGCTTATCAATCGAGAAAGGAATGAAAAGGAAGTGAAATATATGACTTAATGTTTACAGAAACATATATTATATTCATTTGCATTTTCCTTTTTTTCAAATTATAATTTCACTTAATCAATTATTTGGTTTTAGAAGAATTTCTGCCTACTTCCTGCGATAGTTTCTTTTTCAGAACAAAATATTAATGAATTTTCCAATAGCACTGAAATAACTTACAGAACAGTGAAATTTAGATAGCTCAATTCAAAAGGAAGTCAACATATTTGTTTTCAAAATTGAGTTGCAGAGATTTCAAAGAAATGATAAATTCGTTTTTGGTATCGGAAAACCAAATATTCAGAGAAAATAGATGATCAGAGATCAGAGATAAGTCAGTGATCATTTCGTTCGTAGGAAAAAAAAAATCAGACATCATTTTTCTTTTTCTTGCACTAAATAAAATAAGTTTCGAAAAAATTTTGGAAAAAAGTCTTGAGGCAAGAATAATTAGATTTCGAAATACTTTATCCCAATGTAATTCTTTCCATTTTTTTTTTTTGTTCCAACAAACTTCCAAAAATCTAATTTCATCGGCGACTAAATTGCAGTTTACAAGAATTACATCAAATCGCAAATTTCATCAATTCGACTGTTTTCACAGTGATTTTAGCTCATTTGTTGTAGCAAATTATAGCGCTGTTCTACCATTTATCATTTATTCCTTTAATTTCACCGCCTGAACAGGCGGAAAATTTTTTGTGTTTGAGAAAAGTAAGCAAAATCAACTTGACTCATAAGTGAGAACATCCCAGGACGAATCCTGCTGTAAATTGTAAAAGGTTCTTCTTGGCAATAATGCGGAAATACTTTTTTTCTTTTGTTTTCAAATTAACCAATATTAAATACCTCAATTGTTTTGTTGTAGGTATTATCGATAATTCTAAGATAAATGGTTTGAAATAGTCAAAAGTACCATATATTACTGCATACCTTAGTTCTTTTCATGTGTTTGTTTTTTTCATAATTTTATTAAATAAATAGTTTTCTTTATGTTCTTTCTTGTTCCTCCATTTTAACTTTCTTCCACTTGGCTTATTAGCAATCTAATTTCATTTTGTCGAAATTATGATCATCAATCTTTATTGCGAGATACGATCATTAGCCTTTTCAAGTTTATTTTCAAATTTATTTACACTTTATAAACCTTATCACTTTATCAATTCAAGGATGTTTCTCACGAAAAGCATCGGATTTTCCTCCAAAGCAGGCAGTCTTCCATCCTCACTTGTGCCATAATTTGTCACTGTTGCTATAATCATACTGATAACATCATTAAGTACAAATAATTATGCTAATTTGTGTCTTATATAATTGAAAGAAGTTAATGAGTGAATCAGAAAATTGCTTACTATGAATGAAAGAACTGTCAATTTGGATGTTTTTGAAATGAGCAATCACTCAACATTAAATAGTGCCAATATGCAATTCACTGTGATCTAAACATACATTTTAATTGCATTGTCTCTATTAATTGGTCGTCATCCCATAACTTGTCAGCTGCATCATGCATAACAATCGCCATAACTGAAATTGGTAGCAGAACATATCAGTACAACACTGCGGAACAAATCATAATCTTTGAATTTGTTACTGTCGCTTTAATTACCCCATTGGGATAGGACGAAATTCTGGTTTATACATTTTATGAACTCCGTTTCGTCAAACCATTTGAGTATCAATTACTCTACTCTCGTTACGTTCCTGGTAAAGAATAAACGTCTGTGACATTCGTACCGGAAAGGTAATGAATGACACGACAGGGGGTGATGGTAAAACTAAAATATAGCATCAACTTGATTTCATTTGGAGGCAAAATGGAATGAAAAAAAAGGACGAATACCTCATCCTGCTCCACCAGCCTGCATTGCACCACAATAAATGACGAAAAGAAGAAATGCAACTAGCTTTGCCATATCTGAGGTCGCTATTAAAATGTTAAACCGATATTTCCTAAAGTATTCGTTTGACGTCATTAATTTACTCCAATTTCAACTGGAGATATTGAACCGGATTCGATCCGGAACGACTTAGTTTGCTAATTTTTTGTATTCATTGTTGAAATAATGGCATTTATGAATGAATTTGTTCAAATTTCATACTGATCATGGATTTAGTTTATGATCTCTCTCACTATCATGCCTTTTGTAAAGAATCTGGCTTATAAGTTGAAAATTAATGAAAAGAAAGTAAGGATGTGAGCCATTCTTCACGGAACCATAGAAAGCTTGAAAATTATTAATAAATAGAAATTAATGAAATATTGTCGTATTTTTTCCCTGAAATCGAGTAGTGTTTTGTAATGCTGAATGAAATTTAATCCAAACCCGAGAAAGTAGTGTTTTGTAATGCTGAATGAAATTTAATCCAAACCCGCCTTAACCCGAGAAAAAAATTTCTGCCCAATTGATTGGAGGGGGTTGCTGCGTAATTAGTAATTAACTGGTGGGGAAGCAATCACTTATCCCCTAATTAATCGATTAGGAAGCAATTACATTCAAACTTAGCAGTGTAACTGATTTCGACTAATACTCAGTTTACCAGACATTTATGGACCAACATTATGAATGTTATAATGAAGGAAATTTATTCTTGAATACTGTAGTTCTGCCTGATGAGTAATCAGTAAAGCTTTATCAAGAAAGATTATGATTTGCTACACAAACTTTGGCGAACGCCTACCGTATCTAAGAACCTTTTTTTCGGAAATTAAAAAAGAATAGTGGAATTATTAATGGTTAAAAATACAAAAATCGCACTTTTTATACTCCGACAGCGGGACCAGTGAATGTAGTTGTGGACGCATTTTTTTTGTTCTGTGACCTGATTATTTTCCGTATTTCTTTCCGGATGACAGAAAAATGGATTAAAGTAAATAAATAGAAAAGAAGTGATGTATATGATAACGGTACATCCAAGTGTCAACCATCTAGTTATCATTTTGCCGAAATAAATGGTTACCAGTTTTCTTGACGAATGATAGAAAAACAATTATTTTTTCTAAATATTTAATTTTGCTACACGGAGATCAAGTCTATCATTTCTCCGAAATCTCGTCAATTCAAATTGAAAAATAAATGTGTCCACTCCTTTTGAAATGAACATTTCAATGTTATGGAAGTTATTTCAGTGTTTTCATTGTTTTCAGTTAAGTCAGTGTTTTTACTTCGACGGAGGA